GGTGGTGGTGGGGGGGGGTGTTGTGGGGGGGGGGGGGGGGGGGGGGGGGGGGGGGGGGGGGGGGGGGCAAGTGGAAATTATCTATTTAGATATGTCAAAGGCTTTTGATAAAGTGGGTCATCGCAAACTACTCACATTGCTGCAACAACACGGTTTTGGCGGGAACTTATTGGCTTGGTCTGATTCTTACCTTCATAACCGTCTTCAGAGGGTAACCGAATTAGGAGTGTCTTCGAATGCCCTCTCTGTAACTTCTGGAGTGCCCTAAGGTGCAATCTTAGGCCCTATACTGTTTCTCTTGTATGCAAACTCGCTGCCTGACGTTGTGAAATTAAGTCGAGTCGCCACCTTAGCCGATGACTTTAAGTTTTAGGGAACCTCGCCTCCTGGTCATCTTCTGTTGGCCTGGCCTTTAATGAATCTAAATGTAAAGTGCAACCTGATAACTAGGAAGCTCAATCCTGTAATTGCCAGCCATGAACTAAATGAACATGCCCTTGGAAAATCCACTGCGGAAAAAGTACCTAGGTGTTGTCATTCCTGACAACCTCTCATGGGACAAACAAGAAGACAGTTGCAAGACAGTTTCATAATAGCAGGTTTGTCTTCTACTCCTACAAAACTCGTACACTGATCACATATCGATGACAAAATCTCGTTTTTTCAACATGCACACCTCCTCGAAGCACGTCTTACTGCGCTATTAAACCAATCACGTGCATCGCTTTCCCACTCATGACAAGTTAATTAAAGCATGGGTCCCCAGTTATTAAGTCGGAAAGTGAGGGGCTGTCTATCTTTCGATGCAAAAGCAGTAGCAGGGTGAAAACTTGTGGAACACATACACTGCTAGTTTTTGTCTATTTGGCCTGCACCAAATATGCAAATAAGGTCACGTGCCTCGCTACGCCCAGAAAAGTTTTGAACTAAAATGGGCCACTTTTTCTTGTTTCCGTAAATTTTCTACTAGTTTCATGATTTTAAGGCCGTTAGCGGATGTCATTTCTGCGCTTGGCAATGTCAAGATTTTTTAAAGGACAAGCATGTTATAGTGATACACTTGTATTGGGATACTCTTGTATCCTGGGATACTAGGTACTAATCGGAAAACCGTTTTATTTGCAAAATAAGCCAGGTATTTGAAAGTTGCAAACGTAGTTTTGTAGCGGCTTATATTTTGTATTTTCGTGCACCAGTTAAGTAAAATACTCAGGCTCTTGCTAAAAAGTGCGCCCATTTTTACTTAAAGATTTTTTGAGACTTTGTGGAGCTGTAAGGTCGCGTGACTTAATTTGCATAATATTTGCGTGTTCTGAAGTATAATTTTTTGTGGTTTATAATATTTTTTGGTATTTTGTGCTTCATGATTCACAGTTCATATTATAGACCACCTCCTTCATTCTTACGGAAAAATAACTGTTGACCCATGCGTTAAATTACTTCAGAAAAGCATGAAGAATGGCCTTAATAACTTGCGCTTTTTCCGCTCCAAATGTGGAGGAGAAGATATCTAAGAAATGGCTCTTATTGGTCAGATAACATAACATCTTCTTTATAATATGTGTTAGTTCTATGATTGAAGTCATAAAATGAACTAAGGTCACGCACGAATCATGACTAGCACTTTAAAAAATGATTATATCGAGCTACTAGGGGCCATGTCACGCTATTTACTTTTTATATATAAAAAAAAGCTAAAACATGTCTTTGCAACAATTTGATTCTAAAAAATTGGTCCAGATTTTTATCTTACTACTTAAGACTCTATATAGGCATTGGAACTGTTTCCTGTCCTCTGTTTCACCGGACGGCAAGGATGGGCATTCACTAAAACTTGAAAAACGGTGAGTCAGTGTTTTCAAATTTTAATACTATACGCTACTTCCACATTTCTCATAATGCACCTTATTTGTCCCCAAAATTTTACATAAGCATTGTTTTCAGTTTCTCTTGGGACGGCTGTAATACCCAGGAGAAATGAAAAACAAAGGTTATGCAAAATTTTGGGGGGTAAATAAGGTGCATTATGGGAAATGTGGAAGTGGCGTATTCCTGCAAAAAAATACCTAAGAAAATATTATGGTTAATGATCCCTGGTAAATTTGTTTGACATATTCGTAATTTTTTTTACTGCAGCATTTTGGGTATGGGCAGCAAGTAATGACTTCAGCACAGAATTGACCTTAATCAGCAATATCCTCTTCCAGTCACATAGCGCCTGTAAATCTTGTCACTGCTCAACTTTTTGCTCACGTACAGCATCTAACGCATCTGACGATATTCTTGCCATGCCGGCTATAAATGTGAGGCATTCTTTCCACGATTTTCTAAATCTGAGGCTCCTATTTGTCCATAAAACTAACAGCATACACAACAAAACTTTCTGATCGTCGACTTGACTGTCTGTCTCACTTCTCTCATGCACCAACAATAAATCAATGGATTAATTGTGGAATTATGGTACATCATAGAAGTGGTAACTCCCTCTGCGATAACAATAGAGATACTATCACCGTACAAAGCTCTTACTATTTAAACCACAACAAATGGAAGATAACACAATGTCAATATTAAGTAAATCCAGACTGACAAAGCTACTGTCCTTTTATATTTGAACACATTTGCACGGGTGGACATTTGACGGTGTTCGCGTTCAGACTGAGATACAACCTGCGATTGTCGATGTCGTAGTGTAAAATAAATTTTCAAGAAGCTAAACGTCGATACTGCAAGACAAAATAGTGCAAACACACAGAATGTGA